CAGCAAATAATTCTTTCTGTACCTCCTGAGTTCAGCATCAGGTAAGAGCCAGATGCGGGAGACCAGCATGTCGGTGTGTTCCTCCCACGGGCTGCCCTGGGGCGCGCGGCCTGGAGGCAGGGGGCGGCCGGCTCCCTGATTCTCCCCAACGGCCCCCATGATCAGGCATGAGGTCTGGTCACAGGCAGACCCTGCTCCCCCTGGGCCTCCTGGGACCACTCAGGCCTGACGGTGGAGCCCGGCCAGCTCAGCCCATGCTCCTGATGTGGAGAGGCGGAGGCTGCGAGGCTCAGAGAGAGGGGACTGAGCGAGGCCGGTTCCTTCTCCCGCGCGGGAGGAGCGGGGTGGGAGGAGGGAGAGGAGCGGCCGTAACTCCAGCTGAATTCCCTCCGTGCGGAAACCTGAGAGACGGTGCCTGGCATGCCCAGCTTTGTCTCCCAACTCTCTGTGGCTGGCCCTGCGCCCGGGTCCCCTTCACACGGTGGCACCCCGGCTCCAACACGGCTTCCTCACGGTGGGCAGCGTGTGTGCTCCCCAGATAGCCGAAACTGGGGAAATAGGGCACTGAAGTAGGCGCCAAGGAACTCTCGCCCAATCCAAATCCCATCCAGACCACCCCCCAAGGTCAACTGCAGCCCTACGGGGCGGGGGGGGGGGGGTACGCGATGAGAGTAACCAACTCCAGCCCGTGATGCACTGTCAGGACTTAAGGACGCCTTCCAGGGAGCACCTTGGCCCCTCCCATCCTCACATTCCCAGGGAGGAACTGAATCCGGAATGAAATCTTGCAAATTCAAGTCCAAAATTCTAGGCTAAACTCCAGATGTCACCTCCCAGAAGCCAGCTCGGCGTCGTCTGCCAGCGACCTTTCCCAGATGCTCTGGGGTTTCCTAGGAAAAAGGCCCTAGAACCTTCCCCCAGGATGGAAGCCGTTTCCTGAGGGCCGCAGAGCGGGGCAGCCCTCTGGAGCAGAGCCGCATCTGCAGAGGCCAGCGCTGGCACGTTCCGGGCCGCCAGCTCTGCAGGGCCTAAGGAGGGGCAGGAGAACGACCGCTCGCCTCCCCCGGGGTCTTGGTCAGTCTGGGCCCGTTGCCCCATATCTGTGGCTCACAAGCTGGGGCTCAGTGGGAGGGAAGGAGGGCGTCCACGGAGCAGGAAGGGCTCGGCCCTGCGACTGCCCTGTGCCTGCGTCGCCCGGCTTCCCAGCCCGCACACGTCCCCGCCGGTGCTCGCCTCCTGCTCGGGGAGCACACCTTTATAGCCGTTCACCTCCTCCCCCATTTTCTGAGCAAGCGTGTCCTGAGACAGTGCCCCCAGCACTGGGCACCGTTGGTACGAGTGTCCCTGAGCTGTTTCCCCACCTCCCCAAGGAGACGGCGTGTTCTCTGTACAGTAAGGGCCCTGTTCCCTTTGCTGTGCTCACTGACGGAGCCATCCCTGCTCTGGGGCAGAGCCGTGACCTCCGAAGTCTGTGGCCATGGCCACAGGTGACCTGATTAGCAATCAGAGCCAACACAAAGCCCTGTGACCTTGAGCCCTGGACACAGATGTCGCCCCCAGAGCAGCCCTTCTGTGAGTCTCTCCCTTGGTCCTGAGCACGGACCTACCACATGAGAGAATGTTTACAGTCTGTCATCCAGGTCTAGAACAATCTTCTTGCCACAGCCAAAGCCATCTCGAACCACCAAGGTCTGAACCCATGGCCTGTGGTTGCCAAAGCCCAGGATGAAAGCCACCTTCTGGAATGTACCAGAACCTTCCATCTACACATGATGCTTTGGGCGCCAAGGCCACTCTGTTGCCAGGGTTCCTGGACCACATGCCAAGAAGTGGGGCCAGTCTGTAACACCCCTCATTTCCCCACCTGACCCAAGAACCGGCTAAGAAAGAAGATGCCGGGGGCAGCCAGATGTCAGCTTTGTTACTCGTTTGCCCCTGTCAGAGATTCCTAACCGTCCTTCCTGAGTGAGGCAGGCGCAGCCCCGGGATGGGCTCCGCGGCCACCTGTGGGGCAGAGCCTCTGCTGGCTTTTGTCCCGGCCAACCCGCCCGTCCCCTCCCCTGCACCCCCGTACCTGTCCCTGGCTCTGCCTCTGGCTGGGCGTGGCCGGCTGGAGCCCAGAGCCCAGCGTGGGGAGCCCGTCTGGGGCGGGGTCACGGCAGCCAAGGAGGGGTCCCCACGATCTGGTGGTTTGGTTTTGTTTTCTGTCCCCTGCAGAGGAAGCGGCTGGCGTCCAACTATCTCAACACGCCCCTGTTCCTCA